CGTATAGCGTGAATAACCCTGTAGAACAGAACACAGAAGCTCGAGGCCTCAAAGCGCTTTCCTACAGCTTCCAGGCCAAGTTTCCAGCGTGGACGACACTGATGCCTCCAAGATCTGCAGCGCGAGAAAAAACGCCAGCGTATCAGCCAGAGAGAGATGCACCAGAAGAACCAAATCGCCCAACACTTTTCGGGTAGTTTCGGAATATCGCCCTCGAACCACCGTTGAAGCTCTAGCACGGCCAAGAAGTACGCGCCGTTAAGGTTGAGGAAAATGGGAAGGAACTGAATGTTTTGAGTAGTAATTAGGAACGTTTCCACCACGGTGCGGGCTGTGAGGACTTTGAGCAGAGTGGTGGAAGCCGATAATGAGTCCCGATCGGTGTCCCAGTCGGATCATAGAGGAAGCGACCAATATCCAAGCGAGTGCACCATCACAATCAACAAGGTGGAGTTCGCAGGAAAATTGAGCAGAAAAGGTCCTTTATGTGGTCAATTTCAGAGCTAAAGCTGCTTGGGGAGCCCCCATGAAAAATTCAACTCATGCCTCTCGAGTGCACAGTTATATTTGTTCAACGGACTTTACCGCATAAGTTCAGAATTTAATTTCACTTCTCCTACTCTGGACGTTATTGTAGAGGGAAAAATAATACAATGTTTGATCACCAGCAGTGTTATTGTCAGTTTGAAGTTTTCCCATTTATTTGAACCTCTTGAAATTTCCCGTATCAATTACTCATCCGCGCCATAATGGAGCACAACGAAAATTGGTAAGGGCCCCATTGGCTGCTTCCGCTCTAACCAGTTGAAAAAGCGAATGTTGCAGATGCCAGCAAATTCCCCAAAAGCCCTACGAAGAATGCTGCAAAGCCACTAGAGTGCTAGAGTAAGCGAACGGGGCAGTCGGGAACATTTCAGATTTTTACGGTGTTTTAGACGCTACAATCCCTGCGTTTATCATCACTACTATCAAACGCCCTGCTCGACGTGCGGCAGAACCCATTTTCAGCAAAGTACCAGCGTGGTGGGAATTTTGCCCATTGAGTACGAGCGACAACCCGATATGTCCATGTATTCGATGCCACGTGGCTTGTCCAACACCTCTGGTGAGTATCCAATTGGTTGAAAATTTCGCGGGCTGAGTATGCAGGGTCTCCAAGATAAGCATGTGGATCTTCGGTCGGTTATATTAGGAAAAAGCTTCGCAATCAGGGGGTCAACAGGGCCTAAAAAACACACGGTTTCCAAGA